AGAAAGAGAAGTGTAACAATCAGTGATTAAAGTAAATATTTATATGTGTATGTGATGGCATACATAATGAAGCTTCATAGGAAAGAATCTATACATGTTCATAGCAGCCGAGGATCGGCGATTGAGAATGGCTGAGAATCAGAGTATATGTGTTCAGAAATGAAGCAGTTGAAATCTGTGAAGTATAATCTGTGAAGTGTAATGAAATAGTCTATATGATTGATCAGATGCAGCCTGCTACATTAGTTCTCTCTTTTCAAAAGCAGTTCTCATCAGTCAAGAGTCGCTGTTTCAGATAATGCAGAACTCAGAGTTCAGATCAGATGATTATATCTGACTCATTTCATAAGATATTATCAGTCACAGCTGTGAGATCTCTTATTAAGAATATTCTCAATCTCTCACTCAAGCTCATTATCTTCTCTTATGATGCCTGACAGCTGTCAGTTAGAAGTTAGTTGAGAAGAGAATGAATCAGTAACAGCATAGCAGAGCAAGCTTGTATAAAAGATATCATGAATTTCTGATAATGTATCAAGACAGTAGTTATAACTATCTAGAACTTCTATCACTTTATACTTGATATAACAGTAATTCAGTGTATGAGATGAATATATAATTCATATATTCTGAAGATTCAATCATATCAGATCTTCTATCTTATATTATTCAGCAGAGTCTCAGTAAACATTGATTCAATCTTCTTGATTCTATTTAACACTTATTATGAAGACTTCTGCTCAATCACAGATATCTCAGAGTTTTATTACTATATTATCATCAATCTGAATTGAACTGCAGAGATTCAGTATGAAATATATAATCTCTAGAAGATTCAGTACTTTTATATGATATCTATGTATGAGAAAGAATAAGCTTACATCTGTTGAAACAGTATCTTGATCATTGATAGTGACATCTGCATGTAGAAGAAGATTATATTAATTATCTTGTAAGTGATTACAGAACTTATAAAGATAATTCTTCACAGTCTGAATTATTTATTCTGGTATATTATCAGTCTCAGAGTGATAGACAGTTGATAAACAGCATATAATCTTGAGAACTTGACAGATTTCTGTTCAGAAAGTACTTATAAATTAACAGCTCTGATCTGATACTATAGATCTCAGTAATTCATGCATCTGATAGAACAGACTTCTTATAAAAGCTTTGATAACTTGTTCAGCATTTATCTTATTACATGATTTGAATATTATACTCTTACTTAATTAGTTTATAATGATCAGAACATTTCTATAACTCTTACTCTCAGAGAGATTAATAGTACAGTTAATTATCACATCTCATCAGATTCTATTAGATATATTAAGCAGTTTCAGTAGATCTTTTCTACAGTTCTTCTATGAGATAATGAAGAAATAATAGTTATAGTTTCAGATAAAACATCTGATGCTGTTTAATATCTCAGATCAGTAGAACTCTTAAGAGATTATTTAATACAGTTGTTTATAACCTGAATAATGAATTATATGAGAGTCATGCATCTCTTGCATTATTCAGATGTGTAAGAGTTTGAAGTGAGAGACTCAGTATCATTCACAGAATTATAAAGTATTATTATTATTAATTAAACATTCTGAGATGTCAGTTCTTACACATAGTTCTAGAGAAAATCAGAGTGCTTCTTATTATACTGCTTCAGTGAGTGCTTGAAGAAGTTTATCAGTTTAAGCTGCTATATATCATAGTTCATCTAATATAGGTTCAGAAGAAGTTGAGATATTAGTGACAGTTCTAATTGAAGAAGTACATATAGTGTCATGAGCTGTTTCATCTTGATCAACTAGTATCTTCAGATTCAAGAGCCAGTGCTCTCAGTTCATTCAGTAAGTATTCATTACATCAGATGATATATCTTGCTCTCATTATGAGAGAACATCTGTCATTGAGTTCTGACTGTCAGAAAAGTAGTGTATTGTAAAATAAAAGCAGCTTAAGAACTCAGATTATCATATCTGTCATTCAGTGAGTTTATAGATAGTTGTGAAGTACTTGAGATTCTTAGAATCTGTGATTATTTTAAATTCAGAGATGCTTCAGAGTTCAGAGTCTCATTCTTCTAGACAGTGTATAATTGCAAGAAGTTTCTTATCATAGATCTCATAGTTGCATTCAGCAGGACTCAGTTTCTTAGACATGAAGATGCATGATTATAAGACATCTTTATTATCATATTGTAATATAGCTTCTTCTGTGACATAGTCAGAGAAATCAGCTTCAACAACTGTCTTACAATCAGAATCAAATGTTATCAGCAGAGAGGTATTAATGAACATCTTCTTCATTTATATAAATGCAGCTTCAGTGTCTGCTAATCATTGAAATACTGAGTTCTTCTTAATGAGTTCTGTAAGTGGTCTCGCAATATCTGAGAAGTTTCGTATAAATCGCTTCTCGGAATCCATTCGAATTCCCTTGCCAGCTTCTATGATAAAGCCTAGGTATTTTGTACTCTTGACTTCGATATCATACTTGTCAATATCTATTAGTAGTTCTGTCTCTCATAATTATTGTAATACCTTTCACATGTGTTCTTGATATTCTTTTCTGAATTTATTAGTGAAGATAAGAATGTCATCTAGATATACAGATGCAAACTTATCAAGGAAATCTTGAAGTACTCAGTTGATATACTTCTGAAATGTACTGAGAGTGT